GATTTCTTTTTAGGAATGCCCATTAAATTATTCGTTAAAATTGTTTTAAAAAGAAGTTTTAATATAAAAACTTTTGTCATACCTTACCGTAACACTTTCACCATTCAATCGCCTTTCTTTCACTTCAGCGAACAATTTTTTTCGAATAGCGACGGTTTCTCGAGAAAATTCTTCGTTTACAAACGTATTTGTGCCTTTGAGTCGATACAATTCCTTTAAAATTCTTATTTTGTCTTTATATTTCTAAAGATTTAATACTATAGTCCTTGGTCGTCCATCGTTTTTTCGTCCAGTGCGGTGAGCTCTTTCAATTTCAACATCTTTTAGTCGTCCGCTTTTAGAAAAAATTTTAGAAAACAGTCGTCACGTATATCATTGCAAAAAGATAGACTCGTAACATCGTCAGTATGGCCAATAAATGATTCTAGTTGTTGTCCAGTTTTAATGTCCCACAAACAACAAGTTTTATCTGCAGAACTTGTTAAAATTTGAGCATCATCTAAAAACCTGCAACAAGTTACATGACATGTAACATGCTGCAGATTTTTAGCCGACAAAATTAGTGCAATACATGCCAATGTATTGCACTAATTATTCGAGTATGACTACACAGTTTTTTTCTAGTTTGCATTCGAATTTTGCTTATTTGATCTACATTTTGAGTAACCGATAAAAAAATTTGTATCTTGAGCAACTTTGCGTGCATCGCTGATTTGTCTCTTTAAATCTTCTGCTTCTTCTCGAAGACTGTCTATTTCTGGAACACTCATTATATAATTGCTATAAATAAACTAAAATTCAATAATTATATGATTATATGATAAATCAATTCAATATTGTTTTTCAAAACACCTTAATGTATTTCGAGAAAAGCGCCATTTAAAAAAGAATAAAACGCTTTTTGAAACTAATAACTTTTATGAATTTTTTTTAAACTCTTTGAAAATATGTGTTAAATAACGTTTGTAGACATCTAAACTAGCATATTTTGTAAAAAAGATATAAATTGATTTTTTTTACCTTATGGTGTTTTGAAAAACGGACTTTAGTATAAGTCAATAACATATTTCAATAACGACTTGTATTTTATGTACGTAAACAAATAACGTAAAAAACGTTACTCGCATATTGTGTATTAAAAAAAGCAATTAAAATAGTCTTTTGTTTTGAAAGTATTTTCGAACGTAAAAGTTTGCTTAAATTACGAAATAAATAAAACTTTATAAATGTTAAATTAAAAACATGAAACCTATAATTTAAGAGTTTATCAGAACAATATTATTTATTATTTTCTTCACTTTATTTTTATCGCGCTTTTCTAATTAAAAAATGCCATTACCACGAGCATTTCTCTCCATTGAGACAAGAATAACAATAAAAGAAAATAAAGTGTTACAAGGCTTTATTTACTACAAATTTTGAGTTTGCTAGGAGAAATTCAGTCACAAAAATGTAATTTTTAATGATTATTTTAAACTTTTCAAATCACCTTATCAGGTTTGAATACAATAAAAAGAAAAGATAAAAGTCAAACCGACAAAGACTTGAAGAGTTTACTTGATATGAACTGGTTATGTGCTTTATTTTCCGCAAGCTCGTTGCCTTGTGGAGGCTAAACAACCAAGGTCCGCAGAGATTATATTTATATAGACAGAGATTATATTTATATAGGCCCATAAGTACACCTTTCGGAGCTACAATTGTTGAGGATTTTTTTTGGAGAATTATCACACATTTATGTTCTCTTGAACAAAGTTTTACATTTATGTTATTTTATTCCTGGTCGTAATTCTATTGTACCGTATCCTACCGTGCGGCATTAAAGATTCGGTATTATTTAAAGACAGAAACGATAAATGGGTGTGATATGACACATTTGACATTTTATAGAATGTTGATGGCACTTTAATTTATAGAGATATGTTATCTGTCACTGTAAAAAAAAAGTTCTAGAATTTCATAATATTTATTTAGAATTTCATAATATTTCCATAAAAAAATCAAGTATATGAAAAAAGTGGTCTTAATGCCCTTCTTTGCCCTATAATATTTGCCCTTCTTTGCTAATATTTTGCCAGACCAGGCACCAGGTATTTGCTGATGGTCGTACTTGATATATATATATATATATATATATATATATATATATATATATATATATATAAATACATATATATATATATATATATATATATATATATATATATATATATATATATATATATATATATATATATATATATATATATATATATATATATACTTTATGTAAATGCAATGCATTTTAGTGAAGCTGCACTAGGCAGCTTCACTAAAATGCATTGCATTTACAGTAAAGTATATTTACATAAAGAGCCTCAAAGTGGAAAAATATTAAAAATTGATATGAGTTAAGTGTAGTAAAAAGTAAATAAGAATAATAAACAACAGTCAAGGAAAGTCATTAGTTGTTGTGCTACTAAATTGTTGTTAGAGTCCAGCGTAAATGTGATTTGTAGATAGAATTGATAATGGAGTAGAATTATTCGTTTTATAAGTAGTCACCATGTGGTTTGTATTCTAAGGGATATAAACCTTCATTATAGATGTAAGTGTCATGAACATCTCCAGTACAGTATGAACTCGTGCCCTATGGTGCAGTGTGAACGCATAAAGACCTCCAGCTTTCAACTGAAACTGGTATCCCAAAAGAAGTTCCACTCTGGGTCTACACCAGGGTATCTTTTTAAAGGTATCCCATTGTGTTATCTCAAAAGGACTTTTCTCAGAGTATCCAGTCAGGAAGTTTGCCACAGACTCCCGAATTGACACTGAGACCAGAGGACACTTAGCGGGGTTTAGTTCAACTTGCAAACAGTAGTAAGTAGTTTTTTGACATGAATGTCTATTAAGTGCAGTGTTTCTTCAAAGTGTAGCATGGGTCAATGAGAGTTGTGAATTGTTTTGAGTTCATTTAAGTATGTGTAATGTAAAAAGATATTGTGTTTTACGTGTAAAACTATTGTAGTAGCATGCCTCAATAGCAAGAGTTATAAGTATAAAAAATAGTTAAAAGGTCCTTTAAGTTGGTGTAACAACAGCTAGGCGTGATTTGTAGTAGTCCTATGACGTGTTTCTAGAGAATTAATTACCTATTACAACTAGATGATCTGAAATATTTAACTAGAATTACATTAATATAACAACAAAAACTAATGTGTAAATTTAAAACAAATAATCTATATATATAAATTACTACTAATTCATAATAATTATATGGAGTTTTGTAGTTTGACTGGTTAATACGAGGTTTTGAAAAAGTGTTTGGTATTTTGTGAAAGTAAAAAGAATCACAGTACATAAGTCACATGACTGTAATGTTATGAGAAATATTTAAAATGGAGTAGAATTATTCGTTTCATGAAAATCATGGCTTGTTTTTGCCTAATAATATTAATAGTTACTTGTGTCTTAGGTTATCAAATAATGTATGTAGCAGAGATGGAGACAAGTTATTTCTTTTTTAAGTAGTTGTCAGATAATGTATGTAACAGAGCTGAAGTAGAGTTATTCGTTTTTTAAGTAGTTGTCAGATGGTGTATGAAAGAGAGCTGAAGTAGAATTAATCGTTTTTTAAGTAGTTATCATATGGTGTATGAAAGAGAACTGAAGTAGAATTAATCGTTTTTAAATAGTTATCATATGTCACAGAGCTGGTGTAGAGTTATTCATTTTTTTTAGTAGTTTATCAGATGGTGCATGGAAGAGAGTTGGAGTAGAATTATTCGTTTTTTAAGTAGATATCAGATGGTAAGGCCATTATTATAATAACCCTGACAGGAGTGTTAAAGTAGATTGTACATGATAGTCAAAATTTGAGAGTGTGTACGGTGACAGTAGTAGTTAGAAGTTGTAATGGTTATGGTTAACTGGAGTTGTATATTAAATATGTATGATTCTAGTAGTATCATATTAAAGCATATATACAAATACATATACAAATACAAATACATTGAAGAAAAAACAAATACCCCTATAAATACATTATAGCACACATGTAAATACACACACACACACACTGATAAACAAGATTATATGTGTATTAATGCAAACACATATGAGTATGTATGTATTCACACACACACATATATATATATATATATATATATATATATATATATATATATATATATATATATATATATATATATATATATATGTATATATATATATATATATATATATATATATATATATATATACATACATACATACATACACCCTTATGATTATATATACATATATTCTCATAAGTATCTCTAAATCATTTATATGTATTATATAAATTACAATAGCTATTTCACACATTTTTTTTTGTTGAATAGGTGTTGGAGTAATGTTTTAATGATCTAATCTTAGTAAAGTATAGCCTTATAGGCATAAATCAGCAAATATAGCTTCTAGAAGTATCAGTATGATTATTAGAATGATAAGCATAAGTGTATTGAAGTGTAGATGATCAAAATATAGGTGTTTTATTTATCGAATTACCCATATAGTGTCAAGATGACATTCTCATCAGGACCATTTGTTGTCATCAGGGAGTTTCGAAGGTCTGGCACCCTGGGGACGCTACTTTGCTAAAATAAAGCACGTGCTCAGAATTTGTAAAACACCAGTATTTTATAATGGGGTGGTATGTCTTAAACTTAATAAGTTCTTTTCTTGGTCAATATTGACCAGGGTTTTTGTGTATCTGTTTAGGAATGTTAATGTAAACATTCACACAGATATCTTATGACATTTAATCTGTACCATTGTCATACAACATAAAGTGATAGTCATATTGGTACAATTTATAAACTTTCACTACAGTTAAAAACTTAGAAGCATTTAGCTAATTAAGAAAAAACTTAGACATTTGTCCCCTTATAAATAAATATTGGTACATAAACTTTATCTATAGATATAATTGTGAATAGAATAAAAGAAAGTTAAGTAACAAAAACATGTTTGCTTACCATTCTGAAAGTAAATATTATCTTTTGGGTTTAAATCGTGACGAAGATGTAAGATGTTCTTGATGATGAATATTATCTCGTCGTTGTTATAAAAGTTAAATTTAGAATTATAAATAAACAAACATATACAGGAGATGTCAAGATTGATAAGAATCTTACTCCGCCTAAATATCCAGAGAATGTAAATAAATTGAATTTTAAACTCACCGCTCTGTATCAGAGTTCAAACAGATTAGCATGCGGTTTTAGATATAGGTTTTATGCTGAATAAGAGACTAAGGAGAGCGAGGCCAAAAATGCCGATGATAAATTTGCGTAAGTTTGTTTAGTCTTGATGAACCGGAAATTTAAGTTTTTAAGATGTTTTGAGTTTCCATTTGGATGATGTTGTCGATAGAGGGGTTGCAATAGAAGCTAATATTCTTTTGTGCAGTTGTTATTGTTGGTGTTTAGTGTGTATTAGTAAATCTTTAATAAATTTTAAGTTTGTATGTACTGATAGTGGTTTGTGAGGAAATATGTCCTGTAGTTGTAAGTTAGGGTCAATCATGTTCCAGTTGTTAAGAATGATGCTGTTGATTAGTTGTCCAATGGGAGTATATGGAGTAACTATTGTTAGTCTTTCTGTATTTTCCTGCGCGCGCCTGTTGTTGATAAGTTCATGTTGCGTTTTATGAAGCGCTTTCTTAATGTTATTGTTGATGAGGCGCAGAGGATAGTCTCTTAGTACTAGTGTCATAGTTAAGTATTTAAGTTCTTTTTGTAAGTTGTTAAGTTCTGTAATGATAGTGCGGTATCTGAGAGTTTGGCTGTATATGGTGCCCGGAATGGTGTGTGTGGGATGATGTGAGTCATAGTCAAGTAGTCCCATTGTGTCAGTTGGTTTTCGATAGATGGTCGTGTGAATGTTACCTTGTTCATTTTTGTACAGTAGTATGTCTAGAAAGTTTATTGATGTTGCTGAGTGGTTGAAAGTGAATTTGATTGTTGGATGAATGGTGTTCATGTAGTTGCAGGTCTGATCTAACACTTCTATGGGTCCTTGAAAAATGAAGAATATGTCGTCGATGAATCTTCTGTAGAAAGTAATGTGGTTCGGAAATTGGTTGGTGATTTGTTCGTCAAGCCTTCCCATGAATAAATTCGCATAGCATGGCGCAACCCCTGTGCCCATTGATGTACCTGTCAGTTGATGGTAGTGTTTGTCACCAAAAGAGAAAGTACTGTTTGATAGTATTTCTTCTATTAGGTTGCCTATGATACCTGGTGATGGACAGTCAGGTGGTCTATCTTGTAATGGTATGAGCCTCAAGTAATGTACTACTGCGTCTATGCCATCTCTGTGTGGGATTTTGGTGTAGAGTGATGTCACGTCAGCCGTCACAAAAATGAATTCTGAAGATTGAAGTTGTATATTTTGTAACATGTTGAGAAAGTGTATACTGTATTTAATGTAGGCTGGTAGTGATTCGACCAGTGGTTGTTTAATCTTGTCAGGTATTCTGATAGGTTGTCCGTAGGTCCGCTGCATGCGCTGACTATTGGTCGTAATGGAATGTTAGGTTTATGAATTTTTGGAAGTCCGTAAAATAGTGGTGGTCTACATGGTTTGCGGGGAAGAAGGAACTCTGCAGTCTGTTCGTTAATTTTATGAAGTTTAAGCATGTAGTTTGACATGTCAGTAATTCCTCTCACAATCTTATTCGTTTGGTCAGTCTGGAGCTCTCTGTATACTGTACTGTCCGATAGTAGTTCATTCACTTTCTCTTCGTATGTTGTTTTGTTCATGATGCAGAGCCCTCCCCCTTTGTCAGTTTTTTTTGATAATAATGTCTCGGTTGTTTTGTAGGTTTTTCAGGCTCGCCATACCTCTGGTTTCAAGTTGTTTCTTTTTCTCGGTATCTTTCTGTTTGACATCTCTTCTAGATCTCTTTCTATCTTGCCAAAGTATTCGAGTATGTTTTCATTCTCTATTTCTGGAGGTACCCAGCTGGATTTCTTGTAGAATACGGATCTCTTCTGCTCCTTTCTATCCTTGAAGAACATCTTGAGTCGTAGTTTTCTTTTGAATTTCTCCACACTAACCTCGTATACTTCTCTTCCTACTTTCTGTGAGTTGGGTATAAATTTCAGTCCTTTTCCAATTGCTTCCTTTTCTTCATTTGTTAGTACGTGGTCAGATATGTTTGTTATCATTTTGTCAGTCAGAGCTGTTAGCATTCTTACCTTTTCGCTGTTCACCCATCGTTTAAAGTCCCTGTCATATCTGAAGTTTTCGCCCGGTGGAAAAAGGGTTCTCATGCTGAATGGACCAATTGCTCTTTACTCATTTGATGGAGTGAATTTTCGTTCGTTGTCTTAAAGGTAAGTAATAGCGTGTATCATTTTTGTATTACATGTATTTTACTGTTTCTTTACTATATATAAGTAGTATGGCAATTATTGGTATGTAGTTGTCCTTTGTTTTGTGAATGCCAAAACAGTGGTATTTTAGTATGAGTAAAATTATGAATCATAGTTATTAATTAGATATGGATGCTTATACAAGATTATTGGAGATGTTGGCCGGGAGAGAAATGTATATGCATAAAGCACTGATTGTTGATAAATACAGTAGTGTTTTATATGCTTTGCAACGCGTGTTGTGTAATCCTGTGATGAGTGGCATTATAAATAAGGATTAATTAGTAAATAAATGAGTCAGTATTAGCATACTTTGATATTTACATATTTAAATAAGCATATAAATCGTCTAAAAAATTACAGGTTTGTGTTATATTATTTCGTTACGTGTATTGTTTATAAAGACTCATGTCCGCTCATCGTCTTTCAGATATCGTCAAAAATAGTGTCACAGTTTCGTTTCTGGTAAGGGAGAGGTTGTAGGTTGAGGTATCTCATTTAATTAAAGTGAATGTCGAAGTAGTACCATCTGCTGTTGTGTGATTCTAAGTTTTTTGTAATCCGTTTGATTTGATAAATTAGTTTATTAAAATTAGATGGGTCTTTTTTGAACCCTAAGATGAAAAATGTGAATAGAACGAATGGCGAGCAACCATTCCCTAGGAAAAATATTGTCAGTTTAAAGGTTTCCAGGTCTGAGGTGACATAGTTGCAGAATATAATTTGGATATCGAGTGGCCAGTTGGTCATCGGATAGAAGCAATCTCCATTCATTATCTTGAACATCTTTTTGCAATCCAGGTTGATTCGAAGGATTGCAATGCCTGTAGTGTGTTCTAAAGCCTTCTGTAGGTGTCTCTCTACAAACAACTATTCCTATAATATGTTAAGTATGTTTGCAGTCTTTGAGCATTTAGGCAACAGTGAATGGGGTGATAAGCATATTAAAGAAAGGAGTGTAATATGAAAAGAGATTTATTAGGTGCTATTTTTTATGAGTGTTTGCATTTGGTGACGGACATAGTATAATTAAATAAAGCATAGTAAGTCTTCTAGATTAAATAAGAATAAATCAGGGTTATGAGAATGGAAACAGAATACACTATTATGAGGAATATATAATTGATTCATGATAACACGGAGTTAATATAAAAACAGTAATATATAAATGAGTTTTTGAGACAATACATTATAAGAACATATTTTGAAACACTAGTGGTCAATTGTGGTGGTCAAATAGTGAAGATAAGTGGTAACTATTAATTATTGTGTCACTAAACTGTCGTTAGTATTACGTGTAAAGTTGATGTATAGCCCTGAAACAAAAATCAAGTCATTAATTGTTGTGCTATTAAATTGTGTCCAGCGTAAATGTGATTTGTAGTTGAGCCCAAATGTGATTTGTAGATAGAATTGATAATGGAGTAGAATTATTCGTTTTATAAGTAGTCACCATGTGGTTTGTATTCTTAGGGTGATAAACATTCATTATAGATGTAAGTGTCATGAACGTCTTGAGTACAGTATGAATTCGTGCTCTATGATGCAGTGTGAACGCATAAAGATTTCCAGCTTTCATCCGAAACTGGTATCCCAAAAGAAGTTCCACTCTTGGTCTACACAAGAGTATCTTTTTAAAGGTATCCCATTGTGTTATCCCAAAAGGACTATTTTCAGAGTATCCAGTCAGGAAGATTGCCACAGACTCCTGAATTGACACTGGGACCAGAGGACTCTTATTGGGGTTCAGTACAACTTGGAAACAGTAGTAAGTAGTTTTTTGACATGAGTGTCTATTGGGTGCAGTGGTTTGTCAGAGTTGTCAGGTTTTTACGCTTTTTGATAATTTTAGGCTTATTATCTTGATGTTGATCCAAATGAAGACGTTCAACATAAAATCCCTCTACCAGAACTTTATTTTTTAATGGGTGGTGTAAATGTATAAGAAAATTTACATAAAACATGAAATTACTTTGTGCCATTTAAAAATTATAAACAAATATATACAAATATGTTAAGATCAGTTACTAATCTATAATCAAAAGAAAATCGTTAAAAAAAAAAAAAAAAAAGTAATCATACCTAAAAACTGAAGATAAGTTAATAGGATAATTTAAAGAAAACTTAAATTGGTTACACTAGTTTATAAAATAGTTGTTAATTAAGAAAATAAAAGAATCTTAAAAAGAATTTAATTCGTTAACATTGTTAAGAAGTTTTTGTTTGAGTTTTTGTTTAACTAGAGAAAGTGAAGAACAATTTTTCAGCTGGCTATTTAATAAAGTGTTCCATAATTTAGGACCTCTGATGGCAATAGAAAATTTAGTAGCCAAATAGTGTATATTAGGTTGCTCGTAATAGTAATTTGAAAATCTTGTAGGGTACACGTGATTAATTTTATTAAAACAATGTATTAAAAATTATAGGAGTTAATTTATTATATAGTTTGTACATAAGTATATAAATTTGATAAAGGTTTAACTGAAGAACATTGAGTATGTGATGATTTTTGAATAGTTCTTTAGAATGTGCGAATCGACCTGCATTTGAAATAATCCTAACAGCGTGTTTTTGTCTACTAAGCAATATTTTAACTTTACTTACATTAGAGCTGCACCATGCAATATTTTCATAGTTTATATAACAATTTATGTGGGAGAAATATAAGATTTTTAAGCAGTTGTGGTTTAAGATTTGCTTAGCTTTGTATATTATGCCAATGTTTTGCGAAATTTTATTTTCAATTTTTCTTAAGTGTTTTCTCCATGTCATGTTTTTTTTTTTTTTTTTTTTTTCATTTATTTATTTTGCTG